CTGTTAGTGTTGCATCAAAATCTTCCTTGTCAATACAATTTCGCCTTCACAATGTAACATTAAGATCGATTATTACATAGGAAAATATTCAAAGTAAATTCAGCAAAGCGCTAAGTCAAGCTCCAGACTTCATTATTCACTCACATACTTATCTGTCTAGCTATCTACGAAATGGTGCTGAAAATATATCGGCCTAAGTCATTATCCAATACCTCATCGAGAGTTCGAACCTCAAATTTTAATCATATTGTATACATATATATATATATATATATATGTGTACATGCGGATATTTATGTATATATATATATATATATATATATATATATATATATATATATATATATATATATATATATATATATATATATATATACATATATATATATATATATACACACACTCACTAATATGTATATACGTATATATATGTATATATATATATGTGTGTGTATATACGTATATGTATACACACACATATATACATGTTTATGGATGAATGTTTGCGTGTTTCTGAAATACATTCCCATGCGAATGCGTTTTCGTTTGCATATTTGAAAATATATTCATTTGCACACACACACACACACACACACACACACACATATATATATATATATATATATATATATATGGTTGCATGCATACATGTGTTTTGTGGGTAGGTACATGGTGGGTGGTTAATTGCTACACCAGCTGTTTTTTTTCCGTTTCTCTAACCACACTTTTGCTTCTTTTTCCACCGCCACAGTCTAAATTGCAAATATTTCAGAATTATTCAGTTATATAAGAATAATTGGCCCCGGCAGATATATCGACGCCTGGCAACGACTCGATAGGCGTCCATATTGGTCTTGCTAGACGAGCAAAAACGTGTAATTTTATGGATTTTTTTTTTATTTTCTGTTTATTCCTAAAATATGGCGTCGAAAAATTCATTTCTGTCTTTTTAGTAATGATTTCATGAGTAATAAATAATTTTAAGAAAAAGCACAGTGTAATGGACAGCATTTATTACACTTAAAGAATTTTAGCCTATACACTTTTTGATTTGCAGTTTCTTTCTGTAAACAATCGAAGTATGCACAAACACAGCATTTTAATGATAATTTTTTTTATTGATTTTTTTGCGCTTTTACATGTTATTTCAAATCGGAAAATATTTTTAGATGGTAAGAATTTTTTTTTAAGATAATAATGATTTACTAACACAAGTATTAATAATAAACCGTTTCTTGGGGTAAGAGGTAGAAGCATACCAATCTCAAGGGTATTTTGTGAGTAAGTGAACATAACGAACCAGACTGGAATTGGAAATCGCCTATCCGATTTCCAATTCCAAGCTATTATACATTACACCACCCGCACATCCAAGCTTACAGCAACTGGTATACCCAAGCGGTTACCCAAGTAGATAAAAAGGATCGACGCTGCATAATTTGGGTGATCGTACGAGAACCGATCTCTCAACGTGATATGACTCTAAACCGATAATTTCCTAACACATTTATATTTCTCTTACACTATATATATATATATATATATATATATATATATATATATATATATTCCTTTCAATACAATATATATATGCATATATATATTTATCTTACAAAAGTAAGTATATATATATATGAATATATATGCATATATATTTTCCTTTTAATACAATATATATATATATGCACATATATATTTCTCTCACAAAGTAAGTATATATATATGTATATATATATATATATATATGCATATATATTTTCCTTTCAATACAATATATATATGTATATATATATTTCTCTTACAAGTAAGTATATATAAATATATATATATATATATATATATATGTATATATACTGTATGATATATATGTATATATATTTCTCTTACACAGTAAACATATATATATATATATATATATATATATATATATATATATATGCATTAGAAAATATATATATATCAGCATATATGTGTATAGGATATATATAGTTTCTCTAAAAGAGTATATATATATGTATATATATATGTATATATATATATATATATATATATATATATATATATATATATATATTACAATGAATCATTCATACAAAAAGTAGATTATAAAAAGTAATGATATAAATGAAAATGGCGAAAGCTCTTCGCAAACAAAATTTTAAAGTTGCATTAACCTACGAACCACTCGATGAATGTTATGATCCTTGTTTTTAATAACTACAAGTTGTGTCAGGTCTTTTTTTAATCTGCAAGTACTTTCAGCTGTACATACAGTCATCCTCAGGCATGGAAATTATTTTGTTTTTTTTTGTAAATCCAGCTAGTAGCGCAGACGAAAGATTAAATGCGAATCGAAATATGTTTTTTTTAGAAATGTGTTATTGTTAACGGTAAAAAAATTTGGAGCGTGCAGTCGCAACGCTAATGTTGAATTTTTTTTATATCATTAACATTACTAATCTGCTTTTTCTATGAATGATTCATTGTAATATAAATTGAACTGCACCGCATATATATATATATATATGTGTGTGTGTGTGTGTACATATATTTCTCTCACATATATATATATATATATATATATATATATATATATATATTTCTCTCCCACAGTATATATATATATATATTGAAAGAGGAATGTGTGTGTGTGTGTGGTTGTTGACATAATGATCCAGTCCCACGCTTCCATAATTACGGATAAAGCTGTAATACCTAAGATTTTCATAGGAACCTCATGTGCATTTTTCAAAATGGATGAAATAATGTAAATGAAAAAATGTGCAATGATGCACGCAAGAAATGTTTTCTGTTAATGTCAAACAATAATACAAAAAATAATTTAATAATGGGACAAAATTATTTACCCTCTTACCTCAATAATTAATTGTGTAACCTTTATTTTTGATTATTACCTTTAATCGTTTTTGTTTTATACTTCCTGACAAGATCACTACACACACTGATGGATAATTTGCTCCATCCTTCCCTGGCAATAGATTCTAGTTCTTCCATATTCGAAGGATTTATTTCTCTTACTTTTTTCTTCAAATATGCCCACAAATTCTCGGTGAATCAGTAATTTATGCGGGGTACCTTAATTTTTTATCTCATTTAAGTATTTCAATATAACAATTTGTGCCGTGTTTTGGGTCATTGTCATCTTGGAACGCCCAGTGACTCCCCAGAGACAGCTTTCGTGCACTTTGTTTTATATTATTTTTAAGAATAGCCAGATACTGATCTTTGTCCATGATACCTTGTACTCTCACTATTTCTTTTGTTACAGAAGCAGCAAAACAGCCCCCAAAGAAGAATGCTCTCACCACCATGTTTAATTGTAGGGAGTGTATTTTTTGGTTTATGAGCTTCATTCACTTTCCTCCAAGCATAAAGTGAGTTAGTGTGGCCAAATAATTCTAGTTTGGTTTCATCTGACCATAAAATAGAGTTCCACTATTTTTCTCCCATGTTCCAGATGGTTTCTAGCATAAGCTAATCTGCATTTTAGGTGTTTTCCTTGAGCAACAATCTCGAAGTCGTTCTCGATAAAAGCATCTATTTACTGTCTAAGTCGATATATTCAGTCTTGATGTATTTACATCATTTACAATGTCCTTTGTCGTTAAGTGAGGATCATTTGAGACAATTTTCCTTTCCATTCTCTCAGAAATTAACCGTTTTCTGCAAAATGAGCCTTATTGTACTTCTTGATAATACTACGAATTGTCGTACTGGAAAGTGTCTTATATCCATCACCTTGTTGGTACGCATCAACTATTTTCACTCGGAGCTTCTTGTCAAATATAGACGTATTCTGCAAGGTTGTAGAACGAATGAGTTATTACGGCACGTGGCACTCACATATTGTCTTTTTCATTACATTTGGAATGTTATAGAATCAGTTCAATATTATTTTATTTTCAATGGATGTTTGTATTAAATGTCAAATTAAAAACAAAAACAAAAAACACACACTACAATTGCCATAGTGCTATATTATTTCATAATTGCCATAAGGGGTGGGGCGAATAATTTTGGAATGTACCAATCTCTAGAAAAAGCTACAACTATGAATATGATAGATCGAATCTTCTAAAAATTTCACGAATTATTCTAAAATATTGTGGGGCTCTCCCCTTTTTACATAAGATGGACTCGTCCAAAGTATACTTATACTGACAGAGAGAATACCTGCGGTTGAGTTATGTCTCGATACAGTCTCGACGTCTGTCGAACTCTCTGCTTTGCCAGAGAAGAACCCGGACGAAGCTTTGCCGAAGGGCAAGGTTTCGCCCGGGGAGGTAGACAGGGCCTGAACCCGTCTAGGTGGGTTCAAAGGGTATATTTTTGGCCGAATCTACGGGCTCGGAGAAACCCTCTTTAAACTCGGCCTTGTGCCACATATATTCCTCGTGGGTGGGATATTAAATACTGAGATACGTTGAGATACGTGGAGATACGTTGAGACAGGTTGAGAGATACGGAGACAGACACAGGGTATTCTCAGAGAGTTATACAAGAGTCCAGAGAGCGAGAGAGAGAGAGAGAGATTAGAGAGAGAGAGAGATGACGGCTTTTACTTACAGAGACTTGTACATATACTTTCTACTAACCCGCATTCCTGGACTACTAATCTTCACTTCAAGTCTATATTCTTACGTTTAATACACTTATTTTTCTATCTCAATTACTGGCGTTGTTTATTTATTTGTGCAGGATTCCATTCACGGAATCCACAACATAAAATAAATATGGAATCAACGATTTATGATAAATTCGGTAAGTACTTGTAAATATTCGTATTTCCTTAGAAAATATGTAAATATTCAATGTCGGCGTACAATTCTGTTCATAACTATATACCACAGCATATATATATATATATATATATATATATTATATATATATATATATATAGTTTATGCAAAGCTAGGTAATCCGTCTGGGTAGACCCAAGGAGGATGATATCCAGAGAGCTCAATGTAAATTCAGAGCAA